CTCAAGAGGTACCATTATCGATTTTGGTTTATGCACGCGATGGGTATCACTATATATAGACTTCTCCTTTCACGACCACATGTGAACATTGAACTGCGGTGCACGCCCTAAACTTTGAGAAATCACGCAAACACCGCGAATTCGCGGTATTTCAGGTTTTTGTTATGTAGATACAGAATCGTTTCTTTTAAGCCAAAAAAAAACTTAAAAACTTAATCCATGCTGTTCCGGGATTTTTTCCTAATGCTCTAAGAGCTCCCATTGGTGTTAGGAAAGAAGCGGACGGTGTTGCGCACGTCAGTCTGACTAACTAATCAAACACAAAATCGACTTCTCCCGCGAAACCTTCGGGGCGCTGATTTCGTGTGAAGTTCGCCTGGAGGCATCGGCGCACGAGAGGCGCTCAGAACAGTCTAGTGATAGAATGGGATGTTATCTTCCACATGGAGGCTCGATTGCTCAGTAACACATACTTTGATATCATCAATGCAGGGCACATCTGCTGTTAATCTTGACGTCGCCAGCGCTCTAATCGAAGATCGCTCTAGACAACCGTCAACCTGGCAGAACGTCTCGAGTTCTCACACGTCGCTATGGCTCTTCGGTAACTAGGCAAGTCTCGGAAATGTCAATGGAAACCGCACGATTTGACAGGGCGCACATTTGCGCGTTTACCTCTCGTCGCCCAGCAACAAAGACTGTGGTATATGACCACTGGCGAAGACAGTGCTCTGACCCTACGCGGGAGCAGCAGCGACTCGGAGTACGCAGCACTAGAGTTTCAGACCCTCGACCTGACATTTATTGGAAAATGGTGGTGATATCAAAATTCTTTAATTGTGGCAGTATCATCAGAAGCGATGTTCTTTCTGCAGGATTGAGGTCGAGAAGCGCTAACCATTGCTACCCTTCTCGAAAATGTTTGCAAAAAAACTTCACGGAAGACAGCGATAAGTCCATTTGCTCCCGAAAATGGTATGCGCGCATTTCTTCGGTCTCACGCCAGAAGATCGAGCAAGGTTAAACCGAGATTGCTTATTCGCCATATTCGCCAAGTCTGCCCCTAAACGACTTCCACCATTTCCGCTCGCTCGGTCATCATCTGAAGAAAAAATTGTACAATGAAAATGACCTCAAATCTGAACTCCAGCAGTTCCGTGGGCAAAAAACTCCTGGTTTTTGCAAACCTGCTAACTACCGATTGCCGAAATGTTAGGGTGTTGTTGTTGGTTGGTTTTTCAACACTTTCTTTCTAACTAAAAGCTAGCGACACTCAACATTTGATCTCGGCTTATCAAACTGTACATATATGATCCCATTTATACAACTTGATCTTGTAGAAAAAGGGGTTCACCAGCTACCCTGAAATGCGCCACGTACTCAACATCATACAGAACATGATATTTTTCTGAATATCAACGAGCCTCTGTTCCATTTGAAGAGTTGAATGACCGAGTCCTTATGCTCAGTTCTCCTCCAATTCCAGCTGGAATTCGAGATCTGTTTCTAGCAGAAGTGTTAGAAAGGTCTATTGAAATTTCCAAATGGACGAGATTTCTCTTCTTTTCGTCTCTCAAAAAAAGTGACAAAATCTCACTTTTTTGAGCAGCAGTTATTTGTTTGGAAGAATATTTCGGCTATCTTGATCACAGATGTGCTTTCAATGTGTTGTGGCCTCAAGCATTTCTTGGCGCCATGCTTTAGAAATAAGGTCAGGCTTTTAGCTTTGCAGTACGAAGTTACAAAGCTGTATCGTCTACCTTTCGATTCTCCACGAGAAATTCTATTCAATGAGAAATGACTTTTCATAGTGAAGGTTTTCTTTCTTCCTAGCTTTCGGCTCATCTCACCTTGGTGAATGTCGGTCGTGAAAATCTTCTACAGGAGGTCCTCTTCATCTCGGTGGGTGATAGGGACTCGCAGCCTGGGGTTAAGCAGTGAGAACCAGTTGCACCATAGTGCAGATAGGGGAAGGGGAGGGTGTAACGTAGTAAAAAATCCATCGGTGTAGAAAAACATACAGGCACGTTATTGCAGGCCACCGCGCATTCTATGTCACAACCGCTGGAGGTTCCTTCCCTATATATGTTCTCGTCTTCGCCCTTCAACCCACCTTGCTAGAGGGCACTGTTGTTAACTGGCGCTGTCGCAAGAAACGACAAAAGTGAAGGAAGGTTCCCTGCATGAATAAAGGTGGTTCTAAGATTCTTGGAGTCACAAAATGCGTTTATTACAATACAGTTTCGGTCAACATGTCATCATTACGTGACACCTTTGAATTGATTCCGCAATTATGAGTGTGGAGAGGATGCAGGGATTACACTAAATCAGTCGGCGACGACTGCCTTGTTTCTTATGGAAAGGAGGAAGGATGGCTCTCATAGAGTCTAGAAGACCGCTGTCGACGACCTGGTCTCCGTGTCCAGGAAACACTGGACACCGCGCAGCTTCTTTTTTCAACAAGTATAGACAAGATGCTTTGATGTCAGTATAGATGATCAACGAATTGTCGTAGCGCTTCCCAACGAGTAGGGCCTTCAGTTCGCTAAAACAGCTGAGGTCGCACGGCTGCAGTTGGGAAAATACAGGCGGACAATACAGTTCTTAGCATTCCTTTGGTCGAAATACCACTGAACAATGAGAGCTACGTGTGACCTGTCATCAACATAGATGTTCATGTCGTCCCAGTAGTTGTGCATTTTTATTCAATAATTAATGAGATCGCTCAGGAAAGAATACACCTGAGTGCTGTCGGAAGTTTTTCCTGGACAGAGCCGCTCAGGAGGCACATTTGAAAAGTCCATCGCTATAATAATCACCCACGTGAACCCACGTGACTTCTCAGGATATATTTCAGGCGGTTCCTCACCGGCATTAATTCCAAAGGCGACGCTTCTGACTTTGACTCAGCGTACAATCCCACTCAAATTTCATTTAAGAAGTTTGATAGTTCTAAATAAAATACGTTATTGAATCGAAAGAAGTTTATTTCTACAGGCACAAATTCCATTCTGAACTTGTGCATCTGGGAGTAAATGAGATATCCAAAAACATGTTCTGTGGACCATCCCCAATTTTTGGGCACAATTCGCGTAACAGGTGCAGCTAGACTGCAAGTCTCGTGGGCAAACATCGCAAAGGTTCAACATCTGTGATGCGCCCATTTGAAACCTCATTTCATCCACCCGCTCTTCTTGGGCAAGGTGGACAATATGAGCGCCCCAACACCACAACTCGTTCTTTCTTCGTTGGGCTCTCACACGAAATCTCTAACACAGCTTTCCAAGAACTCTGTACGACGCGTAACTTGAGCCAGAGCCTGAAGAATTACGCCTCATTTGAAAATTCCGCCTTGCCTTTGATCACTGTGAGCTCTTTTGTGTTTTCAAAACTTCTTCCGCGACTGTATTAAATGAACCAGGGTATTCCGTAGCTAGATGTGCCAGCTTTAGAACAAAATCAAGCTGGTGGGTGTAGCTCTCTTAATGTCCCGCCATTTCTCTGGACGTCCCCACATTTTTGAATGAGCTGACCTAATGCTTTGCTAGAATCTGATGTCAGATCCCAACTGGAACGCGAAAGAAGGAGAGGTTCAACGCAGGAACTACTCATTCGGTCAATTAGCCCTTCAAAATGAAACAGGAACCCAATGATCTCAAAAGAAAAATCATTTAATTCAACAATTCACTTTATGAAGTCGATGACGTGGCGTGGCATCTTCTAAGACATAATGAAAATTTCTTCCCTGACACCCGTACGGCGGCTGGCATAAGTAAAAGCGCGCATACGCACCGTACACATCCGATTAGCTCTGGAGTTATCTCTTGAGTGCATGGCGCATGCCGGTACGAAGCTTTTGCAAAACCGTCTTCCCATAGAGCTTGGCGAGCTGAGTTAAACCAGTGTGAGTTACAAGAACGTCGACCGCAAAACCGCCTTGTAACAAAAGTCGACAGTGCTGCGAAATCAGCGCTGCGCGTGATTCACGGTGCAGTGTTAAGGGTGCATGGCAAGTGTCATTGAGTTACGGACACATTAGTGACATATCCACTCATTTTACTTAGGTAGGATAAACATTTTAATCTTTTTTATTCATCAATCTGATAATCACAAATTTTTTGATTATGAATATAAATCTAAATCTCAGAATTATCTTCTGAACAGGAACGATACAGTTTCCTCCTTGACAAACAGCTCCAGTGCAACACCATGCTTTAGCTATTTTTAATGTAGCTAATGAATTTGAAGGCATTTCTTCTTGAGTCAAGAACAACATGGGTGTCCCGCTCCTTCCATATCAGCTCTAATTTCGTCATTTTCATCCACTTGTCGTAGTTGTTTGATAAACCACATCAGAAACTTTATAATAATGTACACTGGAGCTGGACAAAAGTTGTCTGCTGCCAAGATTATTTCATAATACACACTTTGTTCAAAAGATAATTTAGGGTAACACCTGCTGGAAAGCGCTCAACCGATGTGAAACCACACAGCTGCAATGTGGCACAAATGGCGCTTGCCAGGCGGAAGTAAACCGAGTAAGGTCTTTAAAAGCTATGAACTCCACCTTTTATGAGATGCAGACAGCGTAAGAGCTGTTTTATTCTCCCTTATACAAAAATCTGTCCGACCTTTTCTGGGTGTCACTGAGTGCTAAAAATGTAGAGCTTCCTTAAGAAAACTATGTAGAAATTTCGATACTACAATGCGTTTCATGACTATAAGTTCACCCTCAAATTTTGCTTACCAGAATAAGCAGCCACTTAGGAATTTTTCTAGCACTACCAGTGGATTCCCCAGCACGAATAACCCCGTATCCAGGTCTTTGACAGCACCATTTTTCTGAACTTCTAATTATAGATTCTTTCGTTTTTGCACCGTTTCATAATTACAAGCTCACCTTGAGAGAATAACAATTTAATTAAGTTCATGACAGCCCATGACATGCTAAAGTTAATAATCTGTGACTCTAGCTTTTTGAAGTGCGACATTGAAGGACCTCCGTGACCAGAAATAATAGGTTCCGAAGCTCTTCTTTATCGATTCCGTTCCAAGCTTCAATGACCGCCTGTTTCGAATTTCTGACTTTGTAAATAACAATTATTTGGCGATGAGGCCTAGACAGTCTCCATCGGATGGACATCCATAGTGCAGGCTGTGCACTGCTGAATGCTCATGTTTTGAGAATGCAGCCATTTTTTCGCTGTTGAAAAATGTACCGATAGCCGCAAGCATGGAAGAGGCAGTAGATGTTGCTGTTAGACTTATTGGTAATTCTTGGAGACCATTTTGCAGGTCTCTAAGGGAAGTTTTGTCATAACATCATTCCAGAAAGCAACCCAGACTTCATAATTCTCTACCGAAATTACGAGCGCTAAATAGAAAGACCTGCCTTCGAAGGTTACCCCAGTTACTCTGGAAGCGCTTGTTTTCGTTGAAACTGCCCATATTAACCTTCTTCATTTGGAAAAACTAATCTTATAGATTATCAAGGTGTATGGTGCCATCGTGACGAAGGCCTACCTTTACCAAATCTCTATCTGAGTTCAACTTTGAGAATTGAAGTCGTGCATTTCTCTCGTGGCCAGTGAGCATCAGGACCGAGCGAATATAGATTTAACAGAAGGTTGTGAACTGCTTTCAAAATTCTTCTTTTGTTAACAGTAAATGCACGTGAGTGCGCAAAAGTAGTAGAACACCTGAAGACATGGAAACACTTCAAACCTCCTTGGAATGAGCGAGACGTTTCCCGATATGCTTCGCAAACCATTCTTGTGTCGAGCCCAGCAAGGCGAAATGTATGAATTTTGCCCCTCCTTCAAAAGGCCATCACGAAGCATTCCGAGTACAAGTACAAAATATATACGACTCCAGAAATTATTGTTTATTTTCTCAGGGTGAGCTTATAATTATGAAACGGTGCAAAACCAAAAACTGTTACAAAAAGGAAAAAAGGATGCTGCTGCCAAAATTCACATGCGGGGGTTATTCGTGCTGGGGAATCCGCTGATGATGCTAGAAATTTCTTTTAAATGGCTGCTTATTCTGAAAATGCAGAATTTGCGGGTGAGCATAAAATTATGAAACGCATTGTATTCATACCCATCATTTCAGTAGATATTGATTTCATTCCACAACTCATAATGGAATATAACGTAAAGGGCGCCCTATCCTCGTGCAGAGTTCCCCGAAAATCTATGGTTTTACATCAGCTTATAAATCGCTCGATAGAGATTTACGAGAAGTCCTTAAAGCATCCATTACAAACTTAATTTTCCATCAATAGAAATCGATAGTGATTCAACTACACTTACTTAGTTACAATCGCTCCTTAACATTGCGCTGTTGGGTTTTCCAACTAGTCGATTTTTAATTTGCTTTTTGAAGCCAACTCGTTAATTAAGATCTATCCCATTAAACTCAGACCTCACTGTTTTCAGAACCAAATTTTTAAAAAGAATGATGGAGCGTTCAGAAGAAGTTGTGACCAAGATCCTACCATTAAGTTGTCTCATTAGTTTGTGCGTATTTGCTTGCTATTTGCTCTACTGCGTGAACAAAGCCACTACTGTCGTTGAGAGGTAGAGGATCCGTGACGACCACTTTCAGAAGCTCTGGCTGGACGGAGCAGAAGAGGGTGAAAATAAATAAATTCACCACAAGGTCATGCTTCGCCTCTTTTGGAGCTTTCTCGAGTTAACAACGAGAAACATTTCCTTCGTTGCACCCATGATGTCATCAAAGCCTAGTGTGATCAACAGCTGAGACTTACGGCGGAGCTCCAGTAACTGCCCTCAAACTCAAAAAAGTATGTCCGCTCCACCACAACCGAGACCTTGCGCTTTCGAAAATCACGCGAGTGTAGATATCGAAGCTCAGCTGAAAAGCGCTACCATATCCAATGTGCAGCGATGAGCATCCTCCTTTTGAAGGATTTTGCTCAGCGATCCCTTGCGGGCAAGAAAAACACGATTCCTGTAAGCAAGGCGTTATCGACTTTAGGACTTTGGCTCAGCGATCTCTTGCGGGCGAAAAAAAGGACGACGGTTTCTGTAGCTGCAAGTCTTTTTTGCCTTCCATCTCATAGCTGCCAACCATGTGAAAGTTGAGCGTCCACTCTTCGGCTGGTGGTTGGAAAGAAGTCACTGAAAGCGAGGGTGCATATTCTGATGACAGGAATTGCCTGTGATGAAAATAGAGTAGGCTTCGAAAAGAACTTCAAAATTATTAGCACGAATCGCACGAATTTTTGAGACAGTAGTATAATCCTAAACTCGGCGGTGTGTCTGTTGGTGCGGGTATATAAGGGGTGGAACGCAAACATATCTTGTGGGGACCAGAAAGTGATTACAGCTGATGGAGCTGATAAATAGCGTCAGAAGGCAAATTGACAGCGCTGCACCAGCGGTCGCTAGGAATTGATTTTAAGATATCATATAGGGGTGGGACGGGAACATATTCGGTGGGGCACAAAAAATGATAGCAGCTGAAAGGAGCTAATAAGGAGCGTTGGAAGGCGAATGTAACGAAATTAACAGCGCACGTCCCGGAATGGCCTTTGCTAAAGGAGGGACACGGCTTGTCGGAGAGCCTCTGAGCAAAATGTTCAGAAGAGATCGTGACTGAGCGAAGGCTGCATCATTATCCATTCAATGAAAGACTGAGTATAAATTTGATACCCGATTGACTAGAAATTCCGAACTGCACCTACCACTTCGTGAGCCCGAAACTGGGTCAGTTCACAACGAGTGTGACTAAAACTATGAATGTTATACAGTGATGTTGAAAAAACTTCTATGATTAGAATGGGATGCAAGGACACTTTGTTCAATTGAGATTACCTGATATAAACATGTTCTAAGGTTTTCTGCAAATGTGATGTTGGCTACGCTGCAGACGATTGCACAGTGAGCAAGAGCAGTCTGAGTTTATACTCACCAAACAAGGTTCGCGAACGATGCTATATGTACTTTTAGATTTTCAACACTTACTTCGTTTTGTTTTTGTGGCTTTTCGGGTGATCTGGGTATACCGCACTCACATTTGTGGTGAATAAAGGGTGTGTTTCCAGGACAAAAACAGCTTTATGTTCGCCCACAAATTAATTCGGTAAAAATGTCTTCAAATGTGAATCTTTTTCTTATTGCTTCCTCTTTTACTTGTTGAAGCATACATCTTGGGTGCGTCTCAGCAGAATCGTCCGAAAACCCGCGCCAGTGGTCGTTGTCGCGACGTCGCGATGGCGGTGGGCGAGTTTCCGTAAGCGTCGTTCGGTTGTGAATGTTAAAAGGACGCTATACCAACCCCTCCATCACACGTTTCAATCAATGCACGGGTGGAAAAAATGCGGAAGTGAATTGTTCTGTTACAGTTTTCTGTTTATTCTGATTTTCTCGTCTAAAGACTGAGACTCAGACTATGCTGAAGTTTTCACTTCACAAAAAACCTCAGAAAAGTCAGAATTCAATCAAAAAGTTCCTTCCTTATATCGAAGAAGTTTTTTCGAGGGAATTTCTCGAACTTTTCCTTGGGAACAGTAGTATAGATTGCGCCTAACGGAGAGGGACGAATTCCTGCCAGAATGGGAACTGCTTGTGCACTTCGCAAGCATCTTCTCCTGTAAAGGTAATCCTAAACTGAGCTTATCGCGAATCTGGCGCAGTGTTATGGAAGAAAATTTATCTCATCAAACGAAATGGACTCCGATGTCAGCTTGGTTAATGTGGACCGCCCTAATCGACAAATTCAATTATTGCCGTGCCCCGCAAGCTACACTTTTGCGCATTTGTGCACTCCCATCGAAATAGCGTACTGAGCTTACAGGAATTTACATTTCAATTTTTCCGCATGATGATTTTCAGTACTGGTTTTTCTACTCAAAATCCTACCAACGCTTACTCCTACGTGTTTAGTTGTTGTTCCGTACTATCCAAAGATGAGTCCGCAGTAGCTTCTACTGTTTGTTCACTGAACGTCATCTTACTAAGTCGTATCAGGATAGAAGATCTGTGTGATCTGTCGTGTTGACCCGGATAAGTGGCACTTAGATGGGGTGTGACAGGAGCTGTCTAGCGGGAGCATTAAAAGTTTTCAGACCGATTTTGCAGGTTTTTGCTGGGATTTTTTCCGTGAAGTCTTGCTCGTTGAAAAGTAACTTCATAAAATATTGTTTTTTTTTGCCGAGACAGTGCACGGTCTGATGCAGCCCGATTTTTGTTTGCGAAGCTTTGCCGCGATCGCGTTAGCTGTATTAGGCTCCTCGAGATGTAGAACATTCACATGTACTTCCAAGAGTTTAGGTGAGTCATGGTTTGAAGGGAAAACTGGAAAAAACCAAAATGATATGGTCGCAAAGTAGTCACTTCTATTCTCATTGATGTTCTCTTTTGATGAATACACAAGCTTCTCTGGAAATTTAAAAGCTGTCCGGTGGTGTGCAAGTAAAACTGTGTGACATCATATGAACAACCCAATAAAAACGAAAGCAGATAAAAACGAAAGAGCATATAAAAACGAAGTAGATGTAAAGAGTCCCATTGTCACTTCAAGCAGAAACCGAGAGTCACCGAGAAATGAAGGAAAGCTGCTAAAGAATGTTCTTGGTCTAGATGGGATATCAATGCAAGCATGAAATTCGACGTGGGATAAAAATGTCAAATGCATCGCTATCACTTCCACCTCTAAAAAAAGTTGACGGTTTGAATTCGCATAACCAAGTTGGTTGCGCATAACATTCTAGCGGCTTGAAACCGACTAGTGATACTATTACAGTTTCGATCGCTCGAGGAAAAATCGCTCTTCCGAGCGAACTTTCATAAGCAGTATTTCAGTATAAAAGTGCCGGGTGATGGAGGAGGATGTATCGAATACATAGAAATATGCAGCAGCGGGCAGGTGTCTATGCCCGACCATAACGATTGCTTTCGCTCGCCGAAATGGGGATCTGGGATGCTGCTGCACTGCACAAGACTGGACGCCAGAACTCATCAGAGCGTCATGGGCTGCTGGTGACTTAAAGCGACGGATTACGATAAGATTGGGTTGGGTTCATAGTGGAAGTGGAGATGCTGAATAATGCCCCAGTGGCGAAAAAAGCAAAGAAATCCGTCAAGAAGGCGCAAAATGGGACCCCTTTCTTTGCCCGTTGACCTCCGATAATGGACGAGCTAGCAACCAACTAAGAGGTCGTTTGCACATGTTAAACCGATAGCCACCATCATACCAGCAAGGACCATGCCTTGATTGATAAAGCATTCCATGGGCAAAGTTATAGCATATGCGTTCAAACATGCATAAAAGGGATGCCTTATCTGAAAGATGAGAACAGTGACGCTGCTAGCAACACACTGATGGGCGGAGCACAGGCGGCGGAGGCGGAGCTCAGAAAGGATTGGCAGCCCAGGGCGCTGAACTAGCGCGCCTTTGGCCACAAAAGGCCATTCGCTTCCTTAGGCCCTGACTACTGCTTCCACTGGTGCATGTACTTCCATGGTTGCACACACGTTTTATCGTCATCTCTCGTTTAAGGGCGGAGTTCGTGATTGCAAGGCAGCTTACTGGAATTAAGTAGAGGTGGTCAATGGTGCCCGGATAAAGAAAAAAGTGTAGTAAACGGTTCTGGTGTCCGAAAATACGATCCCTTCCTTGCCTGTTGAATTCCACATTGATGCGACTCTTGTCGGTGCCGCAATCTCAGGCGAGAGGTTAGCTACGCCGACAGCGCCAGGGCCATGCTAAATTGCCGGAGCAAGCTTTGACTGCGAATTCTGTGCCGGTCCGAAGCATTAGGGGATTCACCTTTTTCACTAGTTGATTTTCCCTTTCTTCAACCTTTGACCTTATTGTGGGATTCTCCTTCAACGAGGGCGGAAGATAAGCGATGGCGTAGACGTTAGCTGAGGAGATCGCAAATCACCTTTGGAAAAAGCTGAGGTTTCAAAGTTTACGAGCAGGGCAGGAAACCACCGAAAGGAATAGGAAGAGGGAGCCCAGAATGGTGGCCAGTCCAGACAAGACCATGCCAAAGGACGTTTAGGATATTGGAAGAGGCAACCCTCAGCAAGTGCAGTAAAAGACCGATACGGGAGATGAAGCCAAGGAACAGAAAGAAACCCATCAAGAAATTGGACATTTATTCAACTCTGCAAGCATTATGACGGAGAGGATTGGTCACTCATATTATTGTAGCAGAGGAGTAGGGTTAGTAATTTGCCTTTCTCTAATCGGTTCGTCGCCATGTTTGTTTTGATAAGTACTCTATTGTCTCTGCTTGATTCAAAATTATTCATTAGATGAGGAAGTCAAAGTAGGACGGGGATAAATAGCACTTAAGATGCTTGCTGTTGTGGCATCTCAAAAGCTTGTTCCAGACCGCATCAATAGCACTGGCGGTTTTAGAAGATAGTTGCTAGAGGTAAGACCCACTTCGCAGTCCATTTTCTGAGATTCCTCTATATGGTCTTGAAAGGACGCTCTGCTTCTAGCAGCAGTTTCTGCCTACCGATCTCAGAACCATCACCCTCAACAACAATCTCGATGGAAAGAACATCACACGTGGAAGCAGTTTTAACAAATACTTGACTGCTCATTTTCCTATCATCCCTTTCACTGAAATGGCACTATTACATTCAACCATTTGTTACTTACTGGCCAACTTGGGTGAAGAAATTGCCTATGACCCTATCAAATGACTGAATATAAAAAATATCAGAAGAGTAATTGCAGCCTGCTGTCCGAAGTCAACTCAGGCGTGCTGCGTATTGGACCTTATAGAGATCCATCAATTAACGTTTTTGCAATGAACACACCGGAGCATAACATATCTGAAATACAAAATAATGAATCTGTTTCTCCATGGGAGCATTTTCCTACAATGCTTAAACCATACACATTTTCCGACGGTGCTATATGTATACCATCAGTGCAGTTTTGATGACGGGTAAAATGCATGGGTTTAGCTGGATCGATGTCATGGGCAGGTTCCCATTTCAAATGACGACATCACTAGGATGACCACTTCCTTGGTTGAGCAGCAAATGGAATGGAATACTGTGCCGTAGGATTAGCTGAAAATGTTTTTGTGTAAGACTTTTCGGGATATTGGCGAATTTACATTAATCACGAGACTTTGGTGCCAAATTTTGCAAGGCATGAAGAATACCAATACCGATGGCTAAACTTTTAATTGATTTTGCGGGCCCCTTATGGAGTGAGTGTAATGTTCAAAAACACTTGAAGTAGTATATGTAATAATATGAGTCATTTTCAGAGTTCCATTATCTCAGCATCTACAGCAGGTACAGTAGTAATGTCAGGGAACGAACTTCTTGCAATGATCATTAAAGGGATTCTTCTGGTATATTTTCCAAAACTTGAACAGGTGGGTGACTTTGGAACATCCTCCTTTTTATAGTTTGTTCGTTATAAATGGTAGGATAATTTTTTAATTATCGCCTTGCAAATAATAGTCAAAAATTCAGACCTCAGAGTGATAAAAACATCCAGTTTATTGGATGTGCGGGTAGAGAGGATTCCGCGGTAATCTTGGAGGGCGAATGAGAGGAAAATGAAGAGGGGCGGCCTCCCTTATAGTACGGTGCTATGCAGTTCTTGAAGGGTAGCACTGAGGGTTGCATTCATGCAGAAATCAACGGGCGAAGAAGGAATCTTATTTCTTGGATATTGGGCAATCTCGTGGTTATTCTTCATCCTTGTACCACTATCACATTTATCCCGTTTTCTGAAGGGCTGCCTTCTCATAATAAACTCTGTCTTCAAGCGTCAAGATGCGATGATTTCAGCAGCAATATTGTATACCTTTCTCAGGGATTACCATCAAGCGAAGCAGAACGGCAGACCTTATCTTAAGTTTATCTTGGGCTTCCATAACGTGGAACAACTAAGGAAAAACTGAATAGGGCAAACAATCTGAAAAGTTTGGAACTTCGCGTGAATCTTTTTGATCCCATCGCTCTGTGGGCTGTGTCACGCCAAACTTTCAGCTTTCCGAATAGAAACAAACGTACAAAAACTACATCGTATGGACATCGAAGGTAATTCGGGCGGAGCCAAAGGCGAGGCATGGAAAGAAGTTGGCCTTTGGCCGGCTACGTATCAGGCGACGCAATGAAAGAATCGGGTTAAAGCGAGCGATAGAGACAAATCGATCGATAGAATAGGATGGAGTAGAAGTGTAAGATGTGAATGCAATAAAGCAGAAGGCCAGAAAGAGTTTCTAGTGAAGGCACTCCAAGAACCAAGTGGAAGCATCCCCGTCGCCAGCATTTGTGAAAGACGTCCGTGGGCACTTTGAACGCGTAGCAGCCCTTTCGATTTTTCGAATTTTTACCAAAACAAAAGCAATATTTCTGTTCTTTTCATTCTTATCGTGGATAATGAGTCTCAAGCCAGTGATTTATGGCTGAAATAGAATCATGATTTTTCCGTGAAGGATTCCTTTAAACAGAGCGAGCACAAGAGATTTATTTCACAGATCAATCGGTTTACCTATAAACAGTCCACGGGTGCTCTGCCGGAAACGTTTTGTGCTGACTAACCCATAAAGTACACATATTTTTCTGGGTGAAAGGAGAGTATGAGAGACAAGCAGCTTAGAAAAGAGAGAAGGACTGGCGGAAACGATTAATGCGAGGTAGGAGAAGAAGGTGAAGCGAGACTTAGGATACCTACAGATGCAAGCGTGAGCGTACATATTTGGCTCACAATAGGCGAGCTCTGAGTCCATATTGCCTTGCTACAGTGCGGGAGTGGCTCTATCTCTGATAAAATAACCTAATCTGCGGGAAGTGGTCCAGTGATCCAATCTCTTCAAGATCCAACAGTGATGACGTAATTTCAGTTGAGCTAAAGAAACGTAAAAACGCGATTTGTCTTGAAACGCTGATCACATCACTATAACACAAAGCAGCGAACGCTATCACGGAAAAAAAAACTCAATAATTTAACCTCATGATTTAGGATCCGCAGTCCTATTATCAGAACTGTCGCTCGTTTGTGGTAGCCATGGCAGGTTTTGGAGTTCTTTTATTCCGCCATCCAGCGCTTCTCGTGATCTCAGACTTAGACTGCAGATGGGCGTTTTACTTCATAACATCTTGCTTTTCTCTTGGTATGCCAGTGGTGACATATGTATAGAGTATACTTGTGACTACTGTGGTCTTTTCACCTTCAATTTCTCTTGTATGATACAAATAGATAGCCTTTTTTCGTGAACTAAGCGAATGCGGAAAAAGTTTCGGTCAAACAGCATAAAGAATCGACTATCGATGAATCTTGGCATTGTTTGTGGTATCTTCTTAAAGGAAGCGATTACGATAGATCTCAAAGGGGTTTAGAGGGGACGTGGGGGTCTCAATAGTACGCCAATGGCGAAAAAAGCAAAGAAATCCGTCAAAAATAAGCAAAATAGTACCCCTTTGATTGCCCTTTCATTTTCGACCATGGATGAGCGACGGTAAAGAACGACGTTGTTCGGACGTGTTAACCCCGAATAGCCGCCATCATGCCAACAAGCATAGTGTTTGATTGATAAGGCAATACGTGGGCAAGTTGGAAGATACAGCCGCTAGAAGGGAAATGATCATCCAAAATGAAAAGCCAACAGCAAACAGTCCATCCAGATCATCAACAAAACTAGTGGGCGTCACGTCACTGGGGGCGGGGCGTCACACGGGTCCTGCTCAGCAACCACAGCACCTTTCGCCGTGGGAGGACCACACATCGCTTCCTTGGCAGCCAAGTAATTGCTCCGTGTGGCGCAGGTTCTCCCCCGATGCGAAAATTCCTTATCGTAATCGCTTCCTTTAAGTTTGCTTCTGTAGCCACAAGCCAAGATGAGATACAGCAGATTTATTCGGCTAACGTTTCGGCCTTTTCGCCTTCGTCAGAGCCTGGAAAGTCAGAGATCAGTGCGACCTACCGCAGACATCATTTCTAACTTCGAAATAGTCCCCATAGACTAGAAACACTTAGGGAGCGTCGTAAAACACAAGCACCAGTCGACTCACGTTGTCCGAATAAAGCTACTGTATCATCTTAGCTTGTGGCTTCAGAAGCAAACTTAAGAAGATTTGCTTTGTTTGTTAGAGCGATGTGAAGCGCTTGGAAGAACATTGGAGTTCTGATAAATGACTGCACTCATTCTAGGAATTGCGTTTTATGCTGTTGAGGCTTTCAATACATATGAGTTGGCCAGTCTAATGCAATTAAACTCTTGGACAATACACCTCCATAAGCGTGCGCGAAATGCGGTACTCACTGTAAGTCGAAGCGGTATCATACAAGCCTTACAATACAGTGCTATTGATTTTACAGACTCGAACAATGTACTCCATTCTGGTTGTGGGTGCTGCACTTCTGATGATTATTTCGCCGAAGTATAGTGAGGTCTGCCCCTTTTAAATCAACTTTGTTTGATTTTTTTTTCGAGTTTGTGTCCATCCATGTTGGAGCGTACCGATATTCCAGGGAATGAAGGCACACTTTCATATCTAATTATGCGTTTATTATTTCCTAAGTGCAGCATGTTCCACTTCGTCAACATATGGACTTTTCGTAAATCGGCACAGCAACTAATGTCTCTGACGTGTGTGAAAACTAAGAATGATCCTGTTCTATTCTGATTAGTGCATAAATTAAAATGTTATATTCTTTGAGAAGAAAATGGGCCGCGTCGATTGCTTCTGCCATCCTTAATACGTTGACGACAGTGTAACGCGGTAACGCGTCCCACTTTGCGCACCTTGTGGGACATTGTGACGCGTATGACGCGTGTATCTTGCCCTTGCGCGACTTATTCCATTCAATAGGCCATACATTAGCATACTGAAACCACATGGCTCACAGAAAGGCCAAATATTCTTTAGTTTGGCAGAGGTTTTCCAGACCTTACGGATATGTCTGTTCAGTTCATTCCTCGTTTTCTTTTCATTAACGTAAACATGTTGATAAAAAGGAATAATAGAAGCGAATACAAACCTATTCGTATGGGAAGATATGTGTTTTTACTGAAACAACCACGTCCAAATTAATTTTGGAACCACTAAAGGGAAATAAGTAAAATTTGCCTTTTCATGGCCTTAACACGTCATTTCGGTCGAACTTCCATTACTGTAACTCCCGATAAGTTAGACAGATCGAACATTATTGAAAACACTTCATCGCATCTAAGTATTGCGTATTTACAGCTCAAAATCCATGGATTTGGTGTGCGGCGGCGGCGCTCGCAAAATCGCTCTGGTCCCACGCGGTGCAAAAACACAAAACGCGCGATGTCGTCAACGTGTTAATATTAGGGACCTCAATTTCTGTAACATTAACTAGCTACGGTGGAACACAGGAATGAGGAACCCTTCACTTCTAAAAAGCACAAAATGGTGAATAAGTACCAGTTCAGAACATTAGCCCTTATCCTGGATGGTAGCATGGGAGCGCCCAAACAAAAAGGAGCCGTATTTTATCTTTTGCGATCACTCCTCTCCTATCTTTTGTGATACTATATAAAGAGATGTGTATCTGGGCAAATTGGGGAATTCGACTTGCTCAAGTAGCCTAGTGATGGGTACCGAGTTCAGTGATGGGTATCAGGCGCTGGTTAGTACGAATCATATTCTCTCTGAGCAGAGGCTTTGTGAAATCATGGTCACTTGACAATTTAAGTTCCAATTTTGACAGGATTCACTATTCGATAACGGTAGCAAAGCCAACAGAAGTGATCGCAAAAATGGGACACAGCTTTTTTCATGAGGAAGCGTTCCCACTGTTGCCTTCCAGTATCACCATCACCTGTATCACCTGTCGTCCCGTTGATCATCGAATTGCTCGAGCGGGCGCCAGCAACGTCTCCATTCGTCCCTGTCGCGTGCAAGAGTTGTCCAGTGGACCCTCCTCGCTCGAGGGACACGATGTCCTTCATTCCTTTCGTTCAGAGCTTTCGTGAAGAAGTCTGACCATCGGGCCGGCGGTCGTCCAGGTGTTCGTTTGACGTCCCGAGGGATCCAGTCGGTAACCGCTCTGGTCCAACGGTCATCGCAAAATCGCATGACGTGTCCGGCCCACCTTATCTTCGATTCCTTGGCGAAAACGGCAGCGTCCCTGATCTTCGATCGTTGGCGTAGTTCGGCACTCCGGATTCCCCTCTGCACTTGCGTGTGTAGGGTTACTCCTAGCATCGTCCTCTCGACAGCGCGTTGGATAACGCTGACCGCATGCTCGTCCTGCCTGCGCAGAGTCCAAGTCTCTGAGGCGTAGGTTAGGGCAGGAAGGACAGCGGAATCGAAGAGGTGGGCACGGAGCCGGATGTTCTTCGTCTTCTTCACTACTCCCTCGATGTTCTTGTACGCTCCCCAAGCCGCTCGTTTCCTCCTGCTCAGCTCTGGAGCTAGATCGTTCATCATATTGATTTCCCGACCTAGGTACACGTAGCTGGAGCATTCGGTGATGTTCGTTCCGTTGAGCGTGAATGGGGCATCAGGAACCAATCCGTTTCTCATAAACATCGTCTTCGTTAGGTTCAGCTGTAGACCGACCTTTTTTTTTTTTTTTTTTTTTTTTTTTGTTTTTTTTTTTTTTTCTAGCCAGCAGGACGGCAGTCCGAAATCTGCAGCATATCGGATCGCTTGCTCGATTATTCGGCGTTAATAACAAACGATGGTCGCACGCGCGAAACGAAGGTAGGTGTAATGTGCGCGACCTTAACTCGCCATGTCTTTCCCATTCCAGTTGACGCATGACGTTCTCGAGAGCGGCGCTGAAGAGTTTGGGCGAGATGGTGTCGCCCTGTCGGACCCCTCTCTTGACGTCGATGATGACCTCCTTGTAGAATGGTGAGATTCTGGTCGTAAAGTTGCTGTAGAGCTCACGAAGAATCTTGATGTACTGAGTAGGGACGCCCTGGTTGCCCAAGGCTTCGATGACCGCTTCTGTCTCCACAGAGTCGAAGGCCTTCTTCAAGTCGATGAACGTGAGACAAAGCGGCATCTTGTACTCTCGTGAAACTTCAATGAGTCTTGTAACCGTGTGGATATGGTCGATCGTGCTGAACCCTCTTCGGAACCCTGCTTGCTCGCATGGCTGTCCTTCATCTAGTATTCTGCCGATCCTGTTAAGGATGACTCGAGTGAATAGCTTGTAGATTACAGACAGCAGGCAGATTGGGCGATAGTTGCCAATGTCGTCCAGGTCTCCCTTCTTGTACAGCAACACGGTCCTGCTGGTTTTCCACGGAGTGGGTACCTTGCATTCCGACAGGTAGCGCGTGAAGAGTCGAGCCAGAGTTTTGATGATAACTGGCGGCGCATTCTTCAGATGTTCCGGTTTGACCCTGTCGAGACCGGGTGCTGTACGATTCTTCACCGACTTGATGGCGTGTCGGACTTCGGAAGAGAGTACTGAGGGGACGACGTATCCATCCTGTTGCAGTTGATAAGTGGGCAGATGGACATGGCTATCGAAGAGATCCGAGTAGAAGTCGTGGATGACTTTCTCCATTGCCCTTCGGGATGCAGTAACTGTTCCATCCGGACGTCGGAGGCAGGTCATCTTGGTCTTGTAGCTGGCAAAGCTTCGGCGGGCATTGCGGATGCTCCTCCCAGCCTCTGCTGCTTCAGCTAATACTGCTGCTCTTCGCTCCTTGAGATCTTCCTTTATCGCCTCTCTGCATAGCTTCGCAAGCTCGGACGTGAGTTGGTGATTGCCTGCAGCTCGTGCGGCTCCACGTTGGCGTATCAGCTCGAGAGTTTCCGTAGACAGACGTCCTTTGGTGACTTGTAAACTCTCTGCCTTCCTGCCACTCTCGTGAAGGTGTTCAACGAGCCGATGATATTCCTCGTCGATGTTCTCGATACGGAATCCTCCCATAAGCTGACAAGAGAAGTGAAGTGATCCCAGTTGATGACTGTCCTGGGGCTTCGCTTCCTGAACTTCGAGGCTCTCTCAACACGCATCGAAAAGTGGAACTTTGCGCGGAGGAGACGATGGTCCGATCCCGTGTAGAACTTCGGAACAACAGCGACGTCGGTCAGGCAAAACCTTCGATTGAAGATGATGTGGTCTATCTCGTTATGGAACTGTCCATCAGGTGACTCCCAAGTCCAACGAAGGTGAGAGGGCTTCTGGAACTGCGAGTTACCATGGATGGTGTTGGTCGACATGATAAACTCAGACAGTCTTTCGCCCTGCTCATTCCAATCCATTCCGTGAGTACCGATGTGAAGTTCTTCAGCCGTTCTTCTCGGGCCAATCTTGGCGTTGAAGTCGCCGACGATGACCTTGAAGAAGGTATGATCTTCCTTGTAGAACTTCTCCAATTCCATATAAAATGCTTCGTGTTCCTCCTCGTCGTAGCTGATGTTGGTGCGTAGGCGACGAAGATTGTCAAAGCAGGAGTTGAACCACATCTTCTCAATCTCAAACGTCCGATTCGGGTCGTAAGGCTTTCGTACGAATCGATGTTTATGGCCAAGTGCGTGTTGACGAGGACACCCACACCGCCAACGCCTCTGCTGTCGCATGTTCCAAGGAACAGTTCTTCTCCAGTATCGAAAACGGCGTGTAGCGGGCGGTGCCTTCTCGTCTCGGTCAGTCCGATGACGTCGTACTTGATCTTCCTGGCTTGCATCATCAGGTCTTCGATGTGAGCTTCGGATGCAAGCGTCCTTGTGCGTTGAAAGTACAGATCGCCATCTTAATAAGGAAAGTCCCTCGAGTCGCCATGGCCATTCGAGAAGAGATGTATACTCAGGTATGCGTCTTGGAACGCTGATCTCGAATCCGTCTCCCAAATCTGCTAAACGATCCGGAGAGAGAAGTTAGGGGGGTGGTTTCACCATGGAGGTCCAGTTCTTAATGCTACTCGACAACCAAGCAGTCGTGCTTCGGTGGCGCAGCCGGTAAGCTGTCGGACTTGCAGGAGCAGCACCAAGGTTCGGATCCTTGATGCATGTGTTGCTTTTGCATTTCTTAAAATATTTTTTAAACGTTTGCAAAACAGTTTCGTAGCCAACTTTGACCACTTTCAACCTCTATTATCCTTTTCTAAACTAGTTTCCTGAGGTTACTTCTACTGTGACTTATTCAACTATGACTTCGTTTTTAAAGCCAATTGTGAATATTTATTTCATGCATATTTTACAGTGATGCTTCAGAAACACCTGCTGAGCATATGTGATAATCTATCACAAAATGAGTGAAGCAGAAAAGCTTTTCACAGTGCGAACATCGGATAAAGAAAAACTCGCTGCATCCATCGCTCTCACACATTCCCTCCCAGTTTGGGATAAAAAAACAGTATTGTACAGGGGTGGCGAAATTCGCCATCAAAAGTTTCAAAATTCACCTGTTATTTTATTGAACTGGGTGCTGGGAGAGGTTTATTCCGTAGGTAATCGAGCAAGAAAGGAGTTTCTATTTAGAAATCACCTCATGTAGGCAAGAGAAGGGTTGTGGAATAGTCAAAAGTTGGCTACGAAACTGTTTTGCAAACGTTTAAAAAATATTTTAAGACAAATGCAAAAGCAACACATGCATCAAGGATCCGAACCTTGGTGCTGCTCCTGCAAGTCCGACAGCTTACCGGCTGCGCCACCGAAGCACGACTGCTTGGTTGTCGAGTAGCATTAAGAACTGGACCTCCATGGTGAAACCACCCCCCTAACTTCTCTCTCCGGATCGTTTAGCAGATTTGGGAGACGGATTCGAGATCAGCGTTCCAAGACGCATACCTGAGTATACATCTCTTCTCGAATGGCCATGGCGACTCGAGGGACTTTCCATCTTAGTCCTTCTTCGTTTAGGCAGCCTATCCGGGCCCTGAGATTCTAGCAGCCTCTCCCGAGCGGTCCTACCCAACGCTGCCGTATTGGGGCTCCCTCAGGTTCAGGGGAATGAGGCCCATCCATATTGCTGTTTTCGGCATATTGAAGGCACACGAGTAGCTTGCCAGGCTCTGTCGTGTGGGCTAGGATAGACCTCCAGGTAGTTAGCCACGCTATCCTGGAGCGGAACAAGGGGCTTATTTTTTGGAGGCGGCCCCGAATCGCCTCCCATGTACTTCCCAGTCACTTGAATGCAAGCTTTTGGCTGTGCCGACATGCAGGATACCAACCGCACACACACAGAGCGCACCACACACGCAAGCATGCATGGATACACCTGTATGGAGAAGCTGGTATGAATCGACACAGCACTACAGAAACAGGGAGTCCATCCCCTGAATCGTCTCAGGGCAAGTACATGGTGGCTTTTGGTCCGCGATTTACCCCCTATCCGCCACCTGGGGTCGCGCCACGTAGCCTCGCCACCAACCGGCTCGAGATCTTTCAGTGAGAGAGGACCCTCAGTGAAAGAGATCCGTGGCCTTCCAGTATAAAGGCTAAAATCCTGAAGTAGTGATCTGCCATTTATGTGCCTCGTATAGGTGAAGGATTTCCCCTTTAGTGCATACCTTAGCGGATAGTGTTAAAAAAGAAGAAAGTCCGAAGAAATTTTAGGATGGCATAATCCACTTCCTTGCAAGAGAACGGAGCTATCGAACTCTTGCTCTAATCAGCATCATAGAGCATCATTCATAGCTTCGACAAGCCAGAAATGACGGTTGCTGTGCTGAATTGTGAAAGGTCCAACACATCAGGAAACTGGAAAATCAGGGGTGGTGTAAGCAGTTGAAGGGCAGTGTATCATAATCTGTCATTATAGTATAAACTTACATGATTACCTTTAGTTGCCCTCTTTTTTTATTTCCTCTTTATTTTTTAGTGACAATCTTAGAAATAGCACCATTGAACTCAGCTCAACAGACTATTAAGGGGCATTTGAACGGCAAAAAGTGCTGCCTGTGAACTGCCTTTGGGGCCCAAATGGTCAAATCTATAACGAGGTGATTTGAGGTCACAGCCTAGGTCAGCGCGAAAAATCTTCGGGGAATTCCGGTCACAGGGCCAAAAATAGACCGGAGGGAAGAATGTCACACAATTGAGCGCGGAGCTGAAGCCTAATATGAAGATGGCCTTCCATCAATCAATTTAAATTTTAAACACGATCAGCCACTTGGAAGACAGCTGCTTGATTCGATAAAAACAATTATTTTTAACATACCCTTGCCAGCATTACTGGCAAGGTATTCTAGTCTAAATAAGTAATACCAGTTTAGCTCCGCACACTACCGCGTGCATGACACGGAAGGGCTCCGTAAAGCTGGCCAGCCGGCGGAGCGTTAGGTTCCGCCGCTAAACAATAACTTGCTTCGTGAAATGCGTTAGCTGGCCTTCTACAGAATGCCCATTTTTAACCAACCGTCTGATACGCGCGGTGGAGTGCGGAGCTAAAGTGGTGTCTGTAAACAACCACCATGCATTGGATGTCAGGATGATTTAGCGGTCGAATAATATTGATGCCAATGATTTTGCAATAGAAATATCCGTTATCGTATATCGTTAAACACTTCAATACTAAGTTGGAATCAGTCGATTTGATTCTAGCAAAGTGTGATTAATGCTGGCTGGACTCTGAAGTGAAGTCTTTTTTTTGCCATCCCTGTATAGTAGGGATTATTGGTGACTTGAAATTCCTCGAAAGCGGTTACGGCCAACGCGCACATTGCTCTTTCAGGATCATTTCTTTCAAAGCAGTCACCACGGTATGAACCATGTCCGATGCATCTCTTACGATAGGGTTGGCGCCATAGAGTGCATACAATCGAACATCTTGACTTTTAATTTTCTTCAAGCACGGAAAAACAATGATTCCAAAATCTCCCGAACCTTCGAATACAAGAGCGAGAGCAGCATCTGTTCGCATCAATATCACCTGAATTATAAACGCAACTGTAGACAAAGAGGCTACTGAAAGCACGCAGGAGAGAATACCAAAACGGTTAGAATTTTTGATCGATCTAATGTTTACACTTCCG